TTATTCACATCCACCCCACCTGACTGACTTCAACTAAGTCAATGACTAGCCAACGTCCTTGACATCCACTGTTGGCTTCAGCAAGCTCAACTCCCTTGGAGTGAAAGAATCTGTGCCTGCGTCGGTCAGCAGTGCGCTTGGCCCGGGGAGGTTGCAAGCGTGTAACTGAGGGCAGAATTCTCTCTCCAAAGAGGGTCAGACCGTACCGAACCCGCAAGCCGCAGCCATCCTGGTATAATCGCGTGCGGAGACCCAGCACCCATTTCCTGACTTCGCATACCATTTGAACATCCAGCAGTTGGTGTGTTAATGCGATAATATATTATGTCATCATTGCTACAAGATTTCTCAAAACGAAAAAAGTGTCGATCTGTTGAAATATAGTATTTAAAATATATAAATTTCATCCATTAAAATATAAGATTTCTTATTTCTTTTTCTTCTCTTTTAAAAAAAAAAAAAGGAAACAAAACCACCAAAACATCTGGTTCAAAGTAGCATGGAGCTTCAGGGTCCTTGTAGTTACACTGTGGAAAGGGGAAAATAAAACCAATTTCTTTGATCCCAGGAAGGCAAGCCATTCATTACCACACAAGGAGAGAAGCTGCCAAGGTATAGGAGGTGAAGAGATGTATCTGAGAGGGAAGAGAACAATTAAACTCTTCTACAATCAACCCCATCGGTATGCCATGCAACCAGAACTTCCCCAGACCCCATCCATCCCCCCAGCAGCCTGCCACACTACCCCTTAGGCATCTCTTACTATCACCTGGTGCCAGGGCCTGCAAGACGGTCGCTGGCAGGTTCGCACCATGAAGAGAAAGGTTGTGTTTAAAGCAGAGAAGACCTGTGTAGTAGCAGGTCTGGACTCACAGTGAATACACTGAAAGGCAGTACTCGAGCAGGGAGCGGGCTTGACACTTCTGAGCCCACTGCTGGTGGGAATTAAGGGAATTTCAGCTCATTTTTAACAGCAATGATAATTGCAGGTGGGAGGAAAGGGAAGAATGAATCATGGTCCTCTCCTAAGTAAATGCGCTTGACACCGGCTTTGGGCACGGACACATAATATACCCAGTGACGCCCATCCTGTCCCGTAACCAGTCCAAGACACAGGAAAATCAGCACCCGTTGGACACGCTGCATTGGCAGCATGCAGTGCTGGGGGAAGTTCGCCTGGGTCATAAAAACAGTTCTGCTGAATCTACCCAGGTGACGTAGCTTGCTTTTCAGAGTACGGCACTGAGAGGCCTATACTGTTTCCTATACCTGAGCTAGCCATACACGGCCCATCGTGCCTTGTGGACAGATAGGTTTTGTCTTCTCGAATACCAGGCAGGCTGTCTGGGACATCGGTTATTTGGGCCATGCTGTGACACCAAACTAATGGTGAGAGAGAGCCCTGCAGGAACTGACTGGACTGACCGCCACGTCTGGGGTGCACAATGTGCTCTCCCGTGGAGAGGGCCCTGGGCCGAGAGTCAAGAATGCTGGGTTCCCTTCCCAACTCCAACAGCAGCTTACGGCTCGACTGTGGGCAAGCCACTTAGGCCCAGGACATCACTGGGCGTTGAGCACCCAACATAAGCCAGAAAGAGCCAAGATACTGAAAGGTGCTGGATGCCTGCAGCTCTCAAGACTCCAATAAGAGCTTTGTGTTACCCAAAGTTGGTGATTATATTGGGATGTGGCCACAGCTTACACATTCGTGAAGCAATGGCAGCAGATACTTAGAGATATGAGATGCTCTGAACAGGAGTGGGAGAAAAGTGCCAAAGGCATCGTTATGACTGCAGGACTCTGGTTCCCCAGCCAGCTGGTTTCCATTCAGAGAGCAATGGCAAGTTTACAAACTTGGCTGGGATGATGTAGTTGGGGCTGGTCCTGCTTGGAGCAGGGGGTTGGACTAGATGCGACCTCCTGAGGTCCCTTCCAGCTCTCATTGTCTATGATCCTATAAAGCTGCAGAACTCTCCCCTGCAGCTAGTGTGCAACACGATTAGTATGGACAGATTATCAGTGAGAAATGAATGCAGAGCCTTCTCTTCCAGGATGCTGAATGCATCTTTAAAGATGCTTATGGGGGAGTCGCAAGGAAATGAAATCAGTTCCTTACAAGGGTGCAGGGGAAAGAGGGCCAGAAAGGAAAGCCTCTCTGTCTGTTCATAGATGCCAGGGCAGGGGCAGGCAATTATTTTGGGCAGCAGGCTACTTACTGAATTTTGGTAAGCCACTGAGGGCTGCATGATAGGCAGCCAAAGCCAGATAAATATTAATTTTCTAAATTATTTAGGGGCCTTGCGGGCTGGATAGAATGGCCTGGCGGGCTGCAGCCAGCCCCCGGGCTGCATTTTGCCCACCCCTGTGCCAGGGGAACCCAAGCAGAGCAGGGTGGAAGTCTCCACTTTCCCTGACACCATATGGCTCATTTTCAAGAACACATTCTCGGTCATGTCCTTGTTTTCCACATTTCCTACTTTGTGTCTGGCCTCATAACCTGTGCTCCTGACTGCTGGATGGATTTCCCTTTGTGTCCCCTTGAAGGACTGTTACAAAACTGCATCCTACTCTTAGCTCTCATTCACTGGGAAGAAAGCATGAAGCAGAACCACATTCCCGTCCTACTGCTATAAATGTATGAAAAATTAGATAATTATACACTGTGATAAGGATCCGTGCACCATTTCTAGCAGCAATGTAAGAGAGTGGAAAAAGACATAGGACTGGGGGCCTTAACACTGGCCTAGCTGATTTATGTGACTAGGTCTTTTCAATTTCTGTCTCTGCCGGGAGGGCAATACAGCAATGCACAGGCAATCCAGGACCTTTTTGGAGAGTGCTGGGGACAACTCCTGGTGCAAGTGTTGGAGAGGCCAGGTAGGGGCCATGCTCTTGTCAATCTGCTGCTTACAAACAAGGATGACTTGGTGGGGAATGTAGTAGTAGATGGCAATTTGGGCAGCAGTGACCATGAGATGATTGAGTTCAGGATCCTGAGGAAAGGAAGGACGAAGAGCAGCAGAGTAAAGACCCTGGACTTCAGAAAAGTGGACTCTGATACACTCAGGGAACTGATGGGCAGGGTCCCCTGGGAGGCCAGTCTGAAGGGGAGAGGAGTCCAGGAGAGCTGGTTGCATTTTAAAGAAACCTCACTAAGGGCAGGAACAAACTATTCGGATGTGCAGGAAGATTACCAAGTATGGCAGAAGACCAGCTTAGCTTAGCAGGGAACTCTTCAGTGAGCTAAAACACAAAAAGAAAGTGTACAAGAAGTGGAAACTTGGACAAATGACTACAGAGGGGTATAAGAGTATTGCTTAGGCATGAAGGGATGAAATCAGGAAGGCCAAAGCACAACTGGAGTTGCAGCTAGCAAGGGATGTAAAAGGTAACAACAGCTTCTACAAGTATGTCAGCAACAAGAGGAAGGTCAGGGAAAGTGTGGGTCCCTTACTGAATGGAAGAGGAAACCTAGTGAGAGATGATGAAAAAAGGCTGAAGTACTCAATGCATTTAAACCTCAGTCTTCACCGGCAAGGTCTGCTCCCAGATTACTGCACCTGGCAGCACAGTTTGGGGAGGAGGTGAGCAGCCAACAGTGGTAAAAGAACAGGTTAGGGACTATTTAGAAAAGTTGGATGTGTACAAGTCCATGGGGCCGGACAGGATGCATCCAAGGGTGCTGAGGGAGTGGGCTGATGCAACTGTAGAGCTGCTAGCGATTATCTCTGAAAACTCATGGCAATTGGGGGAGGTCCCAGATGATTCAAAAAGGGTGAATATAGTGCCCATCTTTAAGAAAAAGAAGGAAGATCCAGGGAACTACAGGCTGCTCAGCCTCATCTCAGTCCCTGGAAAGATCATGGAGCAGGTCCTCAAGGAATCCATTTCTAAGTACCTGGGGAAAAAGTGATTAGCAACAGTTGGCACGGATTCACAAGGGGCAAGTCATGCCCGACTAACCTGACTGCCTTCTGTGATGAGATGACTGGCTCTCTGGATGCAGGAAGAGCAGTGGATGTGATGTACCTTGACTTTAGCAAGGAGTTTGATATGGTCCCCCACAACATTCTTGCAAGCAAGCTCAGGAAATACAGGTCGGATGAGTGGACTGTAGGGTGGAAAGAAAACTGGCTGGATGGTCAGGCTCAAAAGGTAGCAATCAGTGGCTCAATACTTAGTTGGCAGCCAGTACCAGGTAGAGTGCTCCAGGGGTCAGTCCTGGGGCCAGTTTTGTGCAATATCTCCATAAGTGACCTGGAAAATGGGACGGAGTGTGAACTCAGCAAATTTGGGGAGTAGTAGATACAGAGGAGGGGAGGGCTAGTAGCATGCAGAGAAACAGCCAGATTGGAGGATTGGAACAAAAGAAATCTCACGAGGTTCAACAAGGAAAAGTGCAAAGTCCTGCACTTAGGAGGGAACAATCCCATGCACCAGTGCAGGCTGGGGGTGACTGGCTGGGCAGCAGCTCTGCAGAAAAGGACCTGGGGGTGACAGTGGACAAGAAGATGAATAGGAGCCAGCAGTGCGCCCTTGCTGTGAATAGCATGCTGAGCTGCATTGGTAGGAGCGTCGCCAGCAGATGGAGGGCAGTGATTGTTCCCTCTATTCAGCACTGGGGAGGCCACGTCTGGAGTCCTGTGTCCAGCCTTGAGTCCCCCCCTACCATGTGGACAAATTGGAGAGAGTCCAGTGGAGGGCAATGAAAGTGGTTCCAGGACTGGAGCCCATGACTTGTGAGGAGAGGCTGAGGGAAGTGGGCTTAACGGGGAAGAAGACAGAGGAGATTTAAGAGCATTCTCATTGGGGGCAGATGAAAAACCACGGAGAAATGGTCTCCAATTGCAGTGAGGGAAGTTTAAGTTGTATTTTAGGAAACACTTTCTCATGAGGAGGGTAGTAAAACACTGGAACAGGATACCTAGAGAGGTGGTGGACTCTCCATCCTTGGAGGCTTTCAAGACCCGGGTAGACAAAGCCTTGGCTGGGATGATGTAGTTGGGGCTGGTCCTGCTTTGAGCAGGGGTTGGACTAGATGTGACCTCCTGAGGTCTCTTTCACCTTATTTTCTATGTTCTTAGTGCTGGCTCAGAAACTGCTGGTGTCATGGCCTTAGTAAAAAAAAGCCCGCTTTTAGTCTTAATTTAGAAATGTCATCGACCCATTTCAGTGCATTTCAGTGTATGCATGGCGAGATCAAGACTTCTCTTCTAGACTGAGGGACTATACAAGGCAGATGAGTGTGTGTGCGAGTGTGTGCGTGTAACCTGCAAGGACCCCAGCTTCTACTTGAACTGGATCTCAAGTGTTTTACCATCAAAAATGAGAAAATTTTGCAGGTGGAAGTATGACAAGAAAATAGTTTTTTCCTATAGGCTTTTTCAAAACCTCATGTCCTCTAGAAAAGGCAACATCATCCGCGCTAAGTGCTACTTCGCACCCGTAGTGCTCTTTGACCGCAAGAGATACTGATCCACTCTTCCTTTCCTCCTATCCACTGTCCTGTTCTCGCTGTCAAAAATTTGCTGCAGCTGCAAAGCCAGCCGCCGGTCCTCCTCCTCCTGCTGCAGTTTCTGCTCCATCTCCCTCACCAGGGGATCGTCGACGGCCAAGCCCATCTCGCCAGCTGTCTGCCTCAGTCTTTTAACAGACCCATTCTGTTCCAAGTGCTTTGTTTTACAACATCTCTTCCGGCCCCGGCGCAGCGAAGGGGGCTGTTCACCGCTGACATTTTCAACAGAGTTGCAGGTACCGTTCTGCACATTAATTAATTCACTATTATTCAGGTATTTCAGCTGCTTTTTCCCTGCCGTCTTGACCAGAACTCCCCCTGGGCTACTGTCTGGCAGTGCTGGGTTGGCTCCAATGATTCTTCTAGTCATTATTTTTGCGCCAATGCTAAGACAAGATTTGTCCATGTAGGAATTTGCTTTGACATCGACCGTGTCTTGAGCATTCAGAGAGGCTCTGTTTGTTCTTGTGTTAGGTTCAGAGGAACTGTTGTCTACTGTTAAGGTCTGTGAACCTCTTTTCTTGTCACTAGCCCCTTCTGGCTTGCCTTTGCTGATAGAGGGGGAATAATCTATCTCCATGTTGATGTCTGTGGCGGCGTCAGGGGGGACGTGATCATTTAACATTCGTGGTTGCTCTTTGCTGGAATGAAGGGAGTTTGCAATGTCAGGGACCAGGAAGTCCTCCCCGGTCTCTGAAGCCAAAGATGTCAGGGTGGCTTTAGAGAGAGTCTTTTTGATCTGGCGCTCCTGAAAGATCTGCTCCCATTTTTTCAGGATCCTGGGGCTTGCTTCATAGGTGGTTGGTTTCTGCAGGCTCCGGCTGAGGTTCCTTGGAGTTGACTTAATGATCAAAGGACTCAGGACGCGGCCATCAGGAAGTCGCTTTGGAGGGGTGCACGGCGAGCAGACGATGGGTTTGAAATGATTGAGCTCCTCTGAGATGCTGTCGTTGCTCTCGGGGCTGATGGAGCGTTCTGGTTTGTGCAGTGTGGACAGCGAGGAAGCAGAGTTGAAAGCCAGGCGTTTCTCTGCAGTCAGATCGGGAGCGGAGAGGCAGCGATTGTTTTGGGTGGATAACAGTACTCCGATGGGCGTGGATGCACTGGTTGCTGACATGACCTGCAGGACAAGTCATTGAGGTTAGAAAGCTCATGGTTGCAGAGGGGGGGGAAGAGAGGGATTGGAGTAAGAACACAAGCACAGTAACCACTGGACCCGTGTATCAGACCAAGATACCTGTTGTACCAGCCAGCCTCAAACACCTTATTTGGCTCCAGCCAGCAACTTTCTTCCCCCCAACTTTAACAATGGGCACAAAATCTAGCCCCTCTCCTAACCCCTGAGGTCCTGCCTGCCAGCCTCTCAGCTGTGCACACTCTAATCTGGAAAGCAGCTTATGACACCGCAACAAGTCCAGCTCTGGTAGTCTGAAGCAGACTTGACAACCAGAGCAGGCTGGAGCACATTAAATGGCTGATCATGATGCACTAAACCCCACATTCATCTACAGTATCAGGATATGCTTGTTCCTCCGCAAGTAGGGGAAGTGGGCTGGCTGTACTAGTGGCCAAATGCTTGAAGCAATGGAACAAATACGGGCCTGAGAACCACTGGCACACACCAACCAGCAGCAGGATTGTTCTGCAAGGAGCCACTGCAGACAGCAGATAAACAGAAAGATTTTCTTTCCATCAGCTGACTGACAGGGGGGAAAAGAACAAGTATTAAACCCAGGCTTTAACCCCTCGATTGCAAAAAGTGGAAAGGGTGTCTGAAGGACACAGAGCAGGACCAGTAAAATAATCAATCCCCCATGTGTTATCCGAACACAAAACTGTTTCAGCTGATGGCATTCAAAGCAATAGTGGAGTCTGCAATGGATCCCGTCAACCTCAATGGGACCTGGCTTGGGCCCTTTGAGATGGACCTTTTCCAGGACCAGGGGCCATGACTGCGACCTCAGGAAAGCTGGCAGTCCTTTGAATTTCATCACCCACACCATTTGGGTCACCCAAGTATGGCTGAGTGAGGACTGTCATCGCTTTCTGCTTCCCAACCATGCTGGCACTCCAAGGGACTCCTCGGGCTTCCTACACTAACTGGATGTTTTGCATGGTTGGATTTCACTTATGGGGGATGAAGAGGAGGCTGAAGAAGAGGGGATTTAACTGCACCAAGTGGAAGGTCCCAGTAAGGGAGGGAGCTGATGTGGGGAGGACAGGGACACTACCCTGTTCCAAGATGAGTTGTGAAGGTTGCAGGGAGACTGATTTAGTGAGGATCGCTGGCTGGGCAGGGGGGTATGGAGGGAAGTTGAGGTACCGCGTCGATCAGTGGAGGTCAAGACCCTGACGTGCAGCTGGAGGAAGGAAGGCTCTGGAACAAAGGACTCAGTCCATGGCTGTAGAGGACACCTCACCCCCATGCAGGGAGGCTCATCAGAGAGCAGAGGGAGGGAAGGACAAGAGATGAAGGGCTGCAGATCTGCTAGGCAGGCCTTGCCACTGAAGCATGCCACATCCCCCACATCTCCTACCTTGACTGGGCTGGACCTTTGCATGTGGACACAAGGCACCAGGTACTGGGTGCGAGTGGGCTAAGCAGCACGGACTGAATCGGCAGGGATCACACCTGCTGTGGGAGAGCCAACGCCAGGCAGCACAGACCAGACCACACCGTATGCACATGGGAAAGCTGCTGTTGTCGTTGCAAACCATTGGGATCCCGCTGGCCAGAGGCATGATTAGGAAGAGGCAGAAATGGCTCCAGAAACAGCAGGGGCAACTCCCTAGATGGGCTGGAACGGCAGCCAGACATTACCTGAAAACCCCCCAGATGTGCTTAGGAACCACGACTCCTACCAAAGCCTGTATGCACTGTGGGCGCACAGTGTCCCTGCAAAGCAGGCCAGTCACTTCCTTTCAATTAAACACTGGGCCCCATGGTCTTCCCAAAAAGCCAGACTGGACACACTCTTTGTAGAAGCAAAGGCCAGGCCAACAGTGATCATTTTTTGCTCCATCTGAAAAACAACTTGACAGGGCCTGGTGTGTCTAGGGGGAAGTAATTATTTTCCAAAATGCAGACAAAAAAAAAAAGAAGTTTGGGTGAGGCTGGAAGATTTATTTCAAGGGTCTGAGGAGGTCCATTGGTTTAAATAGTCAAGGAATCAGTTTGGAAAAAAAGATTTACCAAAAAGGAGCCTTTTGACTCAGTTACCATAGAATGCAAGGCCAAAAAAGGAAAAAGCCCAAGTGCTGTCTGTTTTTTTCCCATCTCGGCTCCTCTGACAGGGTCTGATCAATCACCCAGAGCTAACACCTCCATTGACAGAACTCAGCAGTTTCTGTTTCTAAAAGACCAGCGTGGCGGTGTCTTTACCACCCGCCCTACACGAGAACATCTCCCCCAAGGAACGTGACGTGCTTCCAGATTCAGCCGGTACCTTTGTTTTGCTGGCTGGGGCTGCCCGCTGCCTGCTCTTTGATCGATCTTGGAGGGTGTCGTTGCAGCTCTGACTCCTCTCCACCTTGGAGGTGAGGCTCCTGGAAAGCAGGGATGAGGAACACATTCAACATGGGTATTCACTTAAAAGCAACACATTAATGACACCAGCAACAGCCACCCGCACTGTGGGGTGGAGGTCCCTGCCTTGGCAGAACTGACCTGGCCCAGGAGACCCTCCATGTTTGGGGTAGGGAGAATCAGGAGGCAGACTGACTGGGCCCTCTAGTACATAAAGGACGTAGGTGCCTATCTTAAGTGTCCTCAAGAACAGGACCCAGAACCCACTGTTAGGCACCTGGGCTCCCCACACAGAGCAAGAGGGGACAAAGCTGCTGCAGAAGGGTGATCCCAAAGCACCCACACACTGAGCAATGCCAGCCGAACTAAGCACTGGGGTGCATCTGGGGCTTGTATCAGGGCTGCAGGCTGGCACTTCCATGCTTCTCCTTTGGAGGAACTGAGCAGGGCTCACTGTTGCCTTTTGAAACGTGGCTGGAGGAGGCAGAAGAGGAACTGGTGGTGGTAGCCCCACCTTTTAAGAGCCTCGTGGTCAGAGCACGGAGAGCCAGCTACAGTCCTTTCTGCATAACGGCACAGCTAAAATAGGAAGGATGGCATCCAAAGCTCAGGCTGGTGGTTAGTGCAGTGTCTGGTGGATTGGGAGATCTAGTTTTGAACTAGGCTCCCCATTTCCCAGGCAAATGCTCTAATCACTGGGCTCTTAATTTATTTTATTTATCAAATGCAAATTCGTGAAGCCAAGCAATAGCTTTGGCACTGCTGACTGCTTTTAGAAAGAAAGCAGCTAGGTGTATGCTTTGAGAGGGTACGTTAGACATGGTCTGTGCAGGCATGCTGGACTAGACCCCTGTGGGGGATCTGCCTAATTTCTGGAGCCCACTGGGGCCGAGGCTGGAACTGGGTATCTAACTGCTTGGGCTGGGGCAGGCAACTGGGGGTACTCCCTGTCGTGCAGGAAGGACCCTAACAAGGTTAGGTATGTCCAGGAGTGGTTGCAAACTGAGCAGATTTGCTCTCAGCTGTAATTTCAGTCCTTGTGTCTTGTTTCAGGTGCTTTCTTTGGGCCTGGCTCCACACATCAATCTGCTTCTTGGGGCACTACACCTTGCCCCACACCCAGAGCTTGTGGCACATTACCCCTCAGTAACTGCATGACATTATGAAACCCCTTGTCCTCTCTCATCCTAGTGCTCCTTAACTTGTTTCTCTTTACTCCTTGCATCACAGTGTAAAACTAAGTTATGAGGCAGAGGACATTAGGGGGTGTTTGTGAGGGCGGTTTAAATAATAGCATTATGGATGAAGCCACCGCATAGGTCATCATGAAGTACGAACAACAAAGATGACAAGTTTAACAAGCTCTAGAATAAATCCTTCCCAGGATTAACTGCCTGAGAATTGTGTGGCAGCTATGAGACAAACAGAGCTCGTTTCCCCCCTGTAATTCCAGTCTTATGGTCTCCAACTTGAAAATAGCCACAGCTAATTTTGGGTTACAACAGCTGTTTGAATGAGATTTTCAGCACCTCCGGGGATGTTCACAACAATGAAATGATCATGAGCAATATTTAGGTTTGTCACGGACATTAATCAGTTTGCACCGAGCCCCCAACTTCTTACCCTGAAAAGAAAGGAAAGGAATAAGCGCTGCCCTTGGACACAAAAGCTGACCGATGTGTTTGTTTGCCCTGGAAAGGTTCCTCATTCTCCGAGTCCGAGAGTCGTTCAGGAAACTGAAGTTAATCAAGGAAGAATTAGCTGACACACAAAATGAGTCACTTGGGAAACAAATTTTTTTTATTACAACATTTCCAATCCCCAAGAAGTCCATGCGGCGGTTACAAGTGACATGTGCAGAGAACAGAATGATCTTCTAGCTGGTGTTAATGGTCACAGATCCACTATTACTGGAGCTACACGAGTAGCCAAGTGAGGAGCTGGTCCAATATTTTCACCTGTATTCATTATATGTTGCTAGCATTACAGAAAATGCTACTTTAGGAATGCTTTTAAAGGCATTATTTCTTGCATTCCTTTTGCTACTATGAAGTCCAAAGGGCCAAGGCTCAGAGGAATTGTATATACCTGAGGTAGGTAGAGAAATAGAGAATTGAATTTACAGAAATACATATGAGAGGGGGGAAAAGATAGGATGGTATGGTTTATAGAATATATTTCTATTCTGTAGTATCATAGCTGAACTCAAGCTACTATCTCCAGTCCCTTCAGGGCTAGGAAGAAATAAGGCAATTCTGCTATGAAGTTCTCTTTTCTAACGGTATAAAAGTCCAAGTCTTAGCAGCGTAGAAGTGGCAAATACTGGACTTTAAAGTAAGCAATTTTTGTGCCTAGAAAAAGTTACTGCCCCAGGACTGGGTCCTGACAATGCAGAGCTGTATTTGGGTACTTACACATTCCTGACTCATTTTAAGCATCAGTGGTTCCTCCTTTTTTTGCTCTTCCATTTTTCTTTTTCCCACTTCCATGTCTTCCAGAATTAGCTTGTGAATCAGATCCTCTGAAGTTTTCTCCTCTTGTAATTTTTCTTCTCTCAACTGTGCAAAAGAGAAAACATGAGAACATAAGAGCTGCCATTTACTGGGTCAGATCATAGGTGCATCTTGCCCAGTCACTGGGCCATGCACTGGCAGAGAATAGATGCTGAAAGGGAGAGTGAACGGGGGATGACCAGGGTTTTTCCACTGTTCCTCTCCCACTTGCAGCCACAGCATTTAGGGTCTAGGAAGTTACCATTCTTGAAACACGCTGTTCGTAGAGGCTATGTGTTTACTGAACTAAACATGGACCTTGAGAGTCTGAAAATCCTGTGTTCTAATCCTAGTGCAATGGCTTCCTGTATGATTTCAGCTGAGTTGCTTTACACCTCACTGTGCATGTTGGTTCCCACATCCATAAGACAGGATCGTTATCTAACTCCCGGGAACATGCCAAGCAGTCGTTTCTGCAAGGTTACACATGCACTTTGTGAGTACTGCAGCTATTACTGCCTTCACACATCTTGAAATACCAATGGCCTTGTTCTTAGGCCCACCATTTGATATAGCTTTTCCCTTGTATTTCTTTTGAAAATACAAAGAGACAAAACACTTTCACCTATTTTAAAGGATCGGGTGACTGATCTGGTAACAAAGGTGCAAGAAGAAACTGTGTTACATACCTGTAACACTTCCTGTTCAGACAAAGGCAGACGGCAGGTTTAATCTTCAAATGGATTATTTATTCAGACACACCGATAGTGTTGATTTAATTAAAAAATCTGCATAGGTTATGCCGTTACCTATATTAAAATACACTAAAGTACAAGTTGTTTAGAGGCAAATGTCTGCAGGACCTTACACTCGGGCTGTATTTCAAGACCATATTATTATTTCACAAAATCAAAGAGCTGGAAGGGACATCAAGGGACCATCTAGCTCACGCCCTTGCACTGAGGCAGGACCATCTAGACTATCCTAGACAAACCTATTTCTAACCTGTACTTTAAAACTGTCTTTTCTGCAGAAAAAGCTGATTTCTCCATGTCCTTCCCCCAATGGATGCAGTCACCACCTCTTCGTAACAACCTTTTCAATACTGCATGACTTATGCTTCATCTTAGTCCTTTGTTTTCTAGAGATGCAGTGCTCAAGCTTTGGCCCACGCAGATGTGTCGACTGGCCCATGGGGCTTTCTACAGGTCTGGAAATTTGGTGGCAGGAGAGAGGAGGAAGTGTTAACTTCCTCTCCCCTGCTGCCAAATTTCTGGACCTGTGGGGAGTCCTGTGGGCCAGATGATGTGGCTCTGCATACTAAAACATGGTGGTGCTCCATAAGGCCAGTGTGCTGGACCACACCAGCACGCAGATGGATCCAGGTGCATGGGGTTGGACTAGCACGCAGCCAGATCCAGGCATGCAGCAATTGGGTCAGCATGTGACAAGATCCAGGAGCACAGTGTCAGCCCCAGATCCTACCTGCAGACCTACCCTGTGCTGGATCTGGCTGGCAGACTGAACTGTGCCACTCATCGGCTTGTGGGACTGGTGGGTTGAGTGCCACTGCTCCAGACTAAAGAAACCCAATTCCTTCAAGCCGTTCATTCCCTAGAAGTTGTCCAAAACTTTTATCTTCCCTCATGACTCTCTCCAATTTGTTCACATTGCTCTTAAAGTGCACTACCCAAAACTGAAGTTGATCACAAGGGATCCTGGTTTTCTCTATTTAAAAAATCACAAATACTCTGATTGCCCCCCCCCCCCATTCCATGTTTGTGCGCGATTAAAATGAAATACCATTATATGTGTATATATCAGTTGAATGCTATGTTTTATTTGCAGACTATGTTCTTTGGGTGAATCCGATATCTTTTATTAGACCAACTTAATTATTTAAATATTTAATAAAAGAACTTTGTCTGCCTATGTCCTTAGACCAGCACGGCTATAACCTACGCCCCTGTAGCATGTTTTATTTGCAGTTTTTAAACAATTTGGAAGCTTCAGTTATTATAATAAAATAAGTTCTAAATACCTATATATTTTGGCATTTGATTTTGGTTTTGTTTTTTATTGTGGGCCACCGCTGCCTCCTCATGGGAGTGGGCTGCAGGGTAGGTGCCCCGGCTTGTTGACACTGCCAGCAAGCAGGTAAAGGACCCTGCCTACCTGTCCATCTCTACCCCCATCACAGCATAGTGCACCTGGGTCCTGGAGTAGTGATGCTGCCTGGGTTCCCCCTGTGGGCCTCAGTGCCTATAGACAGCCCCCTACCTGCTGCTCCAGCCCCCACCCATACAGCCCTGCCTTGCCCCCGCCAGCCCTGCTGCCTCTCTGTGCAGCCCCCACTCCACTCCCCAAGCCCTGACAGTGTCACCCACACCTAACACAGCCTCCCTCAACCCCCCAACCATACTGGTGCCCCTTATTCCCAACCCATAGCAACCCTACTCCTGTCCCCAGCCAGCCCCCAGCAAGCTTTACTTACTCCAAAGGCTTCAGGAAGGAAAATGACCCTAAGCCAAACCCTGGCTGACTCAGATCTTCAGGCCTTGCTTCCTCCCCTCTCTGGACAGGGCTTAGGGTTTCCTGCCCTTTTTGCAAGAAGCTCTTGCAGGCTGGGACTTTTCCAGTTTGCAGAGAGATCTTTGCACAAGGAGAAACCCACAGATCCCTCTACTCCAAATGCGGAAAACCCACACTCTTCTCCTTTTAATGGGAAAAATGCACGTTTTTCTGCAGGAAACAGAAAACCTGGATTCCTGTTGATCACTAAGGGTTTGGAAAGCAAACTTTATCAGGCCCGACCAGTTTGAATACATCTAGCTTATCTAAATAGCAGGACCACATTGCCATGAACATCGCCAGCTCCAAAACTGCAGAAACGTAGCCTTTGCATGGGACAGCAGCGGTGCCAAGCTTATCTTTCTCCTCCAGTGACCCAGCAAAAGAATGAGACCAGCTCCATGTGCCGAGAGTGGGTGGTGATTGCACTGTGGTGGGTGGTTACCGCTCTATGGAAAGCCAGCTTGGGGGGCAGGATCCACAGTTGTGACCAGTGTCACCAAGATGTGCAGAGGCATCTTCCTGAGAAGGGCTCTCCCTGAGCAATGCTGAGACAATAAATGAAGGGTTTGAGGCTAGGGGCTCAGGGGAGTCAGGGGAAGCCAAGAAGCAAGATGCTTATTCCTATTCTGCCCTGCACTTTCTTTCCTCTGGCCTCCAAACGCATCAGAAAAAGCACCAAGTCTCCAGTGACCCAGAAACCGGTCACTCATGGGAGCAGGGCTGGTTAGGAAAACTGATGCTTGCAAATTCAGGCACTAGGGCCTGTTCGAGAAGCTGCAAGTAGGGACGTTCTTCTTCCACGGGTGATCTGTGGGCTCTGCCCGTCCTCTGCTCATTGACCCACAGACTGGTCACATCTGGACAGAAGTGAGGAGAGGTATCACTGCTGACTGAGTGGATGCAAGCTGACAGTCGAGTGTGCTTCTGGGCACACAATGGGGCATGGGAAGCATCTCCTGGCAAGGCCTGACTTCAGCAAGCTAGAGATCTCCATCATTCAGCAAGCAGTAGCAGTATTTCAGAGGTTAGTGGGGAACCCCTGCTCGTAGGGCGACAGGTGGAAGTGGACAGGCTGCCCGCCGATTCTGAGCAGCCAGATGCAAAGGGCAAGGGAGTAAGCAGAGCCTACTGTGATGGTGTCTGCTTGAAGAAAGGCTTAAGGGAGCATTTTGGTGCTGTGCCATGAATGGTAACAACATTTGCTTTTAAAGGCAGCACCCCAGTCCTGTGCGGGGAGGAAAGGTCACATGCTTGGGCATGCTGGTGGCCATCCATGCTTTAATGCACATGCTGAATCCCAGTGTGAAAGAGGAAAGGCTTTATTTTAGGTAACAATACACAGTGATGAAATGCAGAGGGAATGGGCACAGTGAGCCACCTTGTACACAACAAAACCGCCCGAAAACACCAGCTTACAGACAACCAACCCCTAAGCATTGAGCAGGCAGAGTCTGGAGTGAGAAGAAAGGACTAGGGGCTCGTCAGTATGCTGCCTAGAGTCTGGGGGAGGTAAAGCCAGAGTTTCCTTTCCCATCTGCAGCTTCCGTGATGCAGCCCAGTGGGGGAGATGGTGCTTGCGCCTAGGCCGAGCTGGGGTGTAAAGCTTATCACAGGTGTTTTCCATGCGATGATGTGATCGTGGAGCATTAGGCCTGCCGGTCAACTAGTTTCTGCTGTACCACCATCACTGCTTCACTACATTCGTTACACACCCGTACCTCGGATCATGCTGGTTTGAGAAGACACTCTGCTTTGGGATTCACCAAGAAGCAGCTTTATCTAGTCTCCCTCCTTCGGGGTCCTCGAAGCCAGCCCTGGGGCAAGCCTCTGGCTCGAGACCCTGCCTCCTCTCTCTCCCTGGCTTCCTTGGTGATCTGCAACACCTCTACCTCCAAGAGCTTATTGGAAAGAGTGCCAATATCCCAAACAGCACAGCAGACTGCCCAGCTCCAAACACAAGTCTTTACTGTACACGGCAGCCCTTTGTCCTCACTTGGGCCCCTGCTTACCCCTCTGTGGGACTACACTCTTTACGCCATCCTTCCTGGGACTTTTCACCTCTCACCCCAGATCCCTCCGAACCTCTTGCTCTCTTCAGGCATGGGCCACCCACCTGATGGGATGAGGACTCTGGAGGCATTGCTGGCGATACCTCTCCAGGCTCCTGAGATGATGACAGTAGGTCACCCATGTTTTGCATCCATAAAGGAGGGTAGAGATGATGACTGCATTGCAGACCTGGATCCTGGTGTCCTTCTGTGATCAGTAAAATCAAGCCAGAGCAATTTCCTGATGGAGATGCTTGTGCACCAAATCCTGTGCTGGATCTCCTCCCCAATATTTGCTCTGTGAGACAGGTGGCTACCGAGGTAAGAGCAGTGCTCGATGGCCTCCAGGGTCTTTGAGGAGGGAGTAGGTGTCACCATCCATGGCCTGCAGCAAGCTGGTAGAGCACTTTAGCCGCCTCAGTGTTGAGACAGGACCAAAGTTCAGTAGGTTTCTGCTATGAGGTTCAGTGCAGTCTTGAGATTTTTTTCAGCATGCACACTGATGGCACGGTTATTGGTGTGTTAAAGGACAAGGATGGCTGTCATGAATATTCTGGCCTTTGAGAGAAAGTGTCCTAGACTGAAAAGCCCTCCATCCATTCACTATTCAAATATCAATTCCAGAAGGGTGGCAGTCCTTAACAAGAACCAAGATGACACTCAAAAAAAAAAAAAAATTTTAAAAAATGAAGAACAGAACTGGGGCAATGGTGCATCTTTGTATAACTTTAGTTTAAAAAACAAATGGATCCATCTCCAATCCATTACAAAGCACAGTCGCAGTCATTTGGTTGTGGAAAAGCCTCAAGACTTTAATGCATTTTTCAGGGCATTTAAATCTAGCCAGTACTTTCCACAGGGCTGCATGACTGTTGAGTCAAAGGCCTTAGTAAGGTCAACGAAGACCATATACAGGTCCTGATGTTGTTCCTGACACTTTTCTTGGACCTGGTACATAGCAAAGACCATGTAACTTGCCCCACAGGATCATGTGAATCACAATGAGATCCCAGAAGGACTTGCTCAGCAAGAAGTAGAAGACGGCTCATGAGGATGAGGATTTTCCCTCAAGGCTATACCTCGAGAGTTCCCACACACAAACAGGTCTCCTTTATTAAAGGCAGGCATGCTGTTAGCATTCCTCAGGTCCTCCGGGATCTCTCTCTGAATTGTTCCAAATTTGAAAAATAAATTCATGGGTCTCAGTATCAGTTCCTCACTGAGTGCCTTGAAGATTACAGTAGGTATGCCATGTGGTCCAGTAGCCTTCTTCTTCATTTTCTTGCTAGCATGCCAGCCTGCTAGGATAGGAAGGCTGGCGAGGGATCCCCCTTCAAGGTGTTAGGTGACAGACTTGATGGTGGCATCTGTCACAGTTGACTCACGCTCTTTCCTTTTAGCTTGGATAGAGTCGTTGTCTCTGACGAGCACTAAGCCACCATGCAATCAGCCTGTCTCTGTCTCTGGAGCTGAGTCTCCTTGGCTTTATCTTGCCACCACTGATTTTTGAAGATCTTCCTTTGAGCTTCGACTCTGAGGAGCTGGTATGCCTCTTCTATTGGTAGGAGGTGTCATTTTGCCAAGCAGAAACAGCCCTTCACTTCTGGTTGAGGAGGGCTTGGATTTCAGCGTTGTTCTCTCATCAAACCAGTTTTGGTGTTGATAGGTGGTATAGCCAGTGGTTTCAGCACAGGCCATATGGATGGCAGCTTTAAACTCCTTCCAGAAATCCTCAGTGTTACCTTACCTTCAAGTTGTGGGCAGGAGCAGAGAGCTTTTTATGGAGACGCTGTTGGAGATCCTTATGGACCTCCTGGCTTTGAAGAGATTTGGTGTTGAGAGCCCTTTGCATTGCTTTTGGCTGTTTTCAGTGTTTCAGAGCAAGCTGGATAGTCATAATGGATCTGATGAGATGATCTGTCCAGCAATCACCAGTTCCTCACATGGCTTGTGATACAGATATCCATTTGATCATGGGCTCTAACAAGAACAATAAAGGAGGTCCTGGTGCTTAGAGCAAGGGTGTCTCCAGGCAGTTTTGTATTTGTCACTCTGTCTGAACATGGTGTTCCTAATGACCAGGGATCCTGGTTTTCTCCAATTTTTTTTTTTTAATCCCCAATTTTCAAATTAAAAAAAGTAACCCAAAATCCACGTTTTTCTGTGATCAAAATGAAACACTACTAATATATAGAGATATATCTATAGTGGTGCTTCATTCTGATCACAGAAAAAATATGGATTTTGGGTTACTTTTTTTAATCTGAAAATCGGGGATTTTTTTTTAAATTAGAGAAAACCAGGATCCCTGCGGGAAGGGGTGGGCTAACAGGAACAGGATGCGTTTCAATACGGACAAATGCAGGGTGCTGCACTTGGGCAGTAGGAACCAGCAGCACACTTACACAATGGGGAACTCCCTACTTGAGAGCACGGAGGCAG